GCAGGGAGTCTGCTTCTCCCTCTGACCCTCCTCCCTCTCATACTGTCTCTCATTCTCGCTCTCAAATAAATAAAATCTTTAAAAAAAAAAAAAAAGTATATATGGAAAATATATTCAACACACTGTCTTTTTTTTTCAACATACTGTCTTTGAAAAACTAAGGTATATCATCTTTAAAGAGAATTTATAACTCTATTAAAAATAATACAGCAGTAGGAAAATCAGTAAGGAATATGAATAGCAATTCACAAGAGAAAATAATCTTCCAATCAATATGAAAAGCATTGAACTTTACTAAAAATAAAAGTTTCAATTTAAGATTTTTTTTTTCCTGGCACTTAGCAGAATTAAAAAATATCTGTGTGACAGGGCTTGGAGAAGTGGACACTGTTAACTGCTGGTAGAACTACATATCAGTATGTTATTTTGAGGATAGTTTGGCTGTATGTATCAAAAGCCTTACATTTTTTAAAATCCCTTTTTACTTAGCAATACATTTTTCTGGGGATGTACTTAGAAAAATAACTAGGGATGTGATTAATATTCAGCTATTAGGTTGTTCATCATAGTGTTTTTTAGTGTAAACTTTTTTACACTACATAAAGTTTTACACTAAATAAAACCATTTAATGGTTTTAGTGTAAACCATAGTAAAAAATTGGAAGCAATATAAACACCCAGCAATTGCTTATTAGTTTAAAAAAGAAACAAGATACGGTTCATTCATACAGTGAATCTAATCAGCCATTAAGAATGATTTTGTCGGGGTGCCTGGGTGGCTCAGTCGTTAAGCGTCTGCCTTCGGCTCGGGTCGTGATCCCGGGGTCCTGGGATCGAGCCCCACATCGGGCTCCCTGCTTAGCGGGAGGCCTGCTTCTCCCTCTTCCACTCTCCCTGCTTGTGTTCCTGCTCTCGCTCTGTCTCTCTCTGTCAAATAATAAATAAAATCTTTAAAAAAAAAAAAAAGAATGATTTTGTCAATAAATCCTTAATAACATGGTAAAATATTTATGACATGACATTTATTATTAAAATATAAGAATTAGGCTATCAATAACAGTGGTTATTTTTATGGTGGACTTTTTTCCATTTAAAAAATATTTTCAGGGATGCCTGGGTGGCTCAGTCAGTTAAGCGTCTGCCTTCAGCTCAGGTCATGATCCCAGGGTCCTGGGATTGAGTCCCACGTGGGGCTCTTTGCTCAGTGGGGAGTCTGTTTCACCCTCTCCCTCTGACCCTCCCCCAGCTTGTGCTCTCTCTTGCAAAGTGGGAAACCTGCTTCTCCCTCTCCCACCCCCCCTGCTTGTGTTCCCTCTCTCGCTGTCTCTCTCTCTCTCAAAAAATAAATAAAATCTTAAAAAAAAATGCAAAGATCTTTAAAAAAAAAAAAGTTACTGGGAATCACTACAGAATAAATCCATGATATATTCTCCTCTTATCTCTACTTTTCAACACACAGTACTTCTAACTAGTGTTGCCTCTCAGAGTATATACCATCCCCTTACATGCCTGTGTACCTTTGCTTGTCCCTTGGTCACTTAGGGAGTGCCTGCCTCATCTTTTAAAATCAGTTCAAATGACCCCACCATGAAGTCTTTCCTGACCACCCTTTTCTTTCTTTTTTTTTTTTTTAGATCTTATGTATTTGTCAGAGAGAGAGCACATAAGCAGGGGCAGCAGCAGGCAGAGGGAGAAGCAGGCTTCCCACTGAGCAAAGAGCCTGAAGTGTAGGACTTGATCCCAGAACGCTGGGATCCTGACCTGAGCCGAAGGCAGAGGCTCAACCAACTGAGCCACTCAGGCGCCCCTGATCACCCTTTTCTTTGCTTATTCCATGCAATTATTTTGTACAATTATGTATTTACAATTTTTTTCCACTAGGTAGTGAACTCCTATCTCATGCATAATAAATATTTGTGAGTACTTATTACGTGCCTGGCACTGTGTGTTGGGTACTACAGATCTAACAATGAACTATGCAGACAGTTCCCCCTGTCTTCAAGGAGTTTATAGCCTTATGAAGTTATTCCTTACACTGTATATTAAGTGTTATGACAGAAATATAGAGTACTTTGGACATTAGAAGATTGGTAAATCTACCCCAAGCTGGATAGAGAAGGAAGTCTTCCTGGAGGGGATGATAGCTGAATAACAAAAAGAAAGGAAGTATTTAGTCAGGTCAAGGGGTACGGTGAAGGTGGTTTCAAGTAGTAGAAACAGCTTGTACAACAGCTAGGAATTTTAAAACTGTGTTAAGTTTTAGGAAGGTTGTTATGGTATTTATGGATACTGAGGTTGATTTCTGATAAAAAATAATTCAATATAATTTTATCTTGGAAGAAGTTCCAGAATTCATTTCTTCTCTCTACAAGAGATTAGGAAGTAATATATAACAGCATATGTTAGAGAAAGCATCCTAATGTTGAATTAGGCAGAAATTCAAGCGTGGAAAAAGAAATAAAAGAAATTCAAGTGTGATTGGTAGGTTTGTTGTTTTTTAAGTATTTGTATAAAATATATTCTCACTAAGCATTGAGAAATTAGTGTAAAATAATTAAAAGTCTGAATTATAGAGTATTTTATTGGTATATCTTGTAATCTTAACTGGTCCTAATAAAATATTGCTAAGTATGATTATTTGGAGGAATGCCTTTGAATTAATAGGTTAAAAATATGGCATTTTATTAGCAATTTTTATATGTAAATGTGTTCTAAATAGAAAGACATTACTTGTAGCAGGGTAAATTTTTCTCATAATTATGAACCCTTTATGCTTAACATATCTCCCTCTGCAATCAAATCTTCAAAATCTCCTCTGTCTCCTATTAAATTGTCTCTCACCATTCGTGTTTCCGATACAGATTCTAAAGTTCTTTTTTCTCTCTAGCACTGTTCCCCAAACATCCACCCCTATATCCAGTTCCAAATAAAAATCAATAGTATAAAGCAAATGGATAAAATTACATTGTGGTCCTCCTTAAATCATAGTGTCCTTTCCTGTGATTATGTGAATTATGCTTACTGTTTATTGATATCCATATCACTGGGTTTATACCGTCAGTTTGTAGTCCTTTTTTGTTTGTTTTCTTGATTAGGTAATATAGAGGCTGTTTCTCAAGTTTTCTTTAACAAGAGATTAAATAAACCAGTTTTTCTTTTCTGCTTTGTAGATTTCTTGATAACCGGCTGTTTGCTACCTGCTCTGATGACACTACAATAGCACTATGGGATCTGAGAAAACTGAACACCAAAGTATGCACTTTACATGGTCACACTAGCTGGGTGAAGAACATCGAATATGATACTAATACAAGACTCTTAGTAACATCAGGATTTGATGGAAATGTCATTATTTGGGACACCAACAGGTTTGTGAATAGGAAACCATGTTAGGATTGTGAACAACAACAAAAAAATTTTTTAAAGATTTCTTTATTTGACAGAGAGAGGGAGAGAGAGTGAGTGAGCATGTGGGGGGCGGGTGCAGAGGGAGAGGGAGAGAGAGAATCTTAAGCAGACTCCCTGCTGAGCGCAGAACCTGGTGTGGGGCTCCATCTCACAACCGTGAGATCATGACCTGAGAAATCAAAGAATTGGACCTTTAACTGACTGAGCCACCCAGGTGCCTCCAAAAAATATTTGTGTAAAATGGTAGAGAAATTCAGTGTTTTGTCTTAGCTTTCATATCTCTTTAGGAGAAAGAATCTGACTTTGGGAAAAATAATCAAAAAATGATTCCATCTTTTGTACTTGCTCTTAGTCATATACTGCAACTAAAAAATTTGGAGAAAAGTTTATGGAAAGGAGACCAAGTAGTACAGTTAATGATGAAAACTGGTTTATAAGATGAGTTTCCTAAATTTAAGGAATTTAAGGAAAAATATTTTTGTTATTTCCTCTGTGGAACAGAAATGTTTTTCATTCTTTGGCCCTTCAGTTCTTAAACCTACTTATTTTGTAATTTTTTTCATGCATTAAAATAATAGTTTCTCAGTGGGAATGTTTGGAAATAATGTGTGGTGCAGTTTTAATTGTCACTATGGGAGGAGAAGAGAGGATTTCTACTGGCATTTAGTCAACAGGGATCAGAGTTTCTAAACATCCTGCATGGAACATTTTGCACAGTAGACTAATCCCATCTAAAATGTCAGTAATGCCTCTGTTGTGAAACACTTCAATGAAATGTCTTCTTATAGAGAAATTGATTATTTAAAGAAACCTGAAGTTTGGGACACCTGGGTGGTTCAGTTGGTTAAGCATCTCTTGATCTCAGCTCAGGTCTTGATCTCAGGGTCATTAGTTCAAGCCCTGCATTAGGTTCCATGCTGGGTGTGGTGCCTACATAAAATAATCAAGAAAAATAGAGTTGAAGTTTGAGAAATAACTAAAATGTACCTATTGCTAGCTATGGTGAAATGACAATGCAGTAATACACCAGGACCATTTCTGAAATATTCTTTTCAGAGGTCATATGTAAAAAGAGAGAGGATATTCTTAAAGATTTCTACTATGCATATTGTTTGAGCAGAGGATATATAGATCTCTTTAGATTAAGACAAGCATACCTGTTAAAATTTAGAAGTTCATTTTTTTTAAATTTAGAAATAAAATTTGAATAGGAATATGAATGGTAACTTCCAAATTAGTGGACAAAAGCTAGTAAAACATGACCAATCCAACAGAGGCAGAGAAGGGGGAAAATCATTTTTAAAAAAGAGGTAAATTGGGAAGCACAAAAATATGGTAGGCAGAAAATCCAAATATCAATAATCTCAATAAATACATATAGACTAAAGTAGCCAGTTAAAAGATAGATAGGGTTAGATTGGATTAAAAAAGAAAACCAAACTATGTTCTTTGTAAGGAACACACCCAAAACATGCAAATGAGAAAGTCTGAAAGTCAAAGCATGGGAAAAAAATAACAGGCAAATTCAAATCGAAGAGAAACAATTATATTTACATTAATAGCAGACAAAAGAGAATATAAGGCATAAAGCATTATTGGTGGTTAAAAAAGGTACTGTGCTAAAAGGTTTATTTCACTAGAACATAAAAGAATTCTTATCTTAAATGTACCTAATAACATAGCTTCAAACCATAAAAAGCAAAAATGGGGGGCGCCTGGGTGGCTAAGTCATTAAGCATCTGCCTTCGGCTCAGGTCATGATCCCAGGGTCCTGGGATCGAGCCCCGCATCGGGCTCCCTGCTCCG